CCGACTAGGTTCCCAAATAATGGTTGTTGTGTTTGTTTTTGGTGTGTGGAGGAACCATCACATCAACGTCTTTTGTGTCTCGATGGTGTTGTAGCGTCTTACCTCAGACTGCTCTTTCCAGTCAGTCTCCTTCTCGTCTTCCTCCTCTTCCTCCTCCTTCTCCTCAGGGTGCTCTAAGAACCACTGCAGTGAATCAGCTCGGCAGACAAGCAACCGCAACCAGACAGCATCAAGCATCACACACACATAGTGCAAAGCAGTGCGCCCAGGCACAGGTTACCAAACACCCTCTTAGCTACTTCTATGATTCGTAGAAGTAGTGGTCGCAGTGGTAGTAGTTGTAGTCTTAGCGGTAGTAGTGGTAGTGGTAGTGGGATGAGGAGGAAGAGGAGGAGGAGGAGGAGGAGGAGGAGGAGGAGGAGGAGGAGGAGGAGGAGGAGGAGGAGGAGCAGGTGGAGGAGGAGGAGGAGGAGGGAGAACGAAAGATTGTCTAAGAAAGCAAGCAGCACTCCATTCAGGATGTTGGGGGACGCAGGACGCAGTGGCTGAATTGTCAGCGGCCCACGTGCATTTCAGAGGCTTTCGCCATTCCGCACATCCCCGGTGCGCCCCAGCGATGTGGTGCACACGCTGTTGTGGAGAGAAGCACTGCGCAACGCCCTAGCCAGGAATAGGACGGCAAGAGGAGGAGCATGAGGAAGAGGACGGGGAGGACGACGACGACGACGAGAGGCCACTTTCCCCCTCGGGCCCAGGGGCGACCAGACTTCTCCCAGAGCACGACCCATAACAGACATGTTATCCAACAGGCCGTTTTGGCCTGGTCCTGCCTGCTTCGCCATCTGCATCCTTTCGTTTCCATCCTTCGTTCCTCAATCCTTGTGTGAAGCACCTTCCACAGACAGTGAGGAGGACGACGAGAGGAGGAGGACGAAGCGATCCGTAGGTACCCATCGCAGACACTTGCGTATCCATAGCATGGCGCACGCTTTGCCGTGGCAGATCCCCGTATCTGTAATTCGAATTTTCTTGGTTAATTCCAGGTTTTCCTAGACGGCGCCGACATGAGTCGTGACGTTACCAGCGGTGGGGAGGAGCGGGGCTGGTAACGGCTTCTATCGCGAAGCATAACAAACGTGCCCACGCATCCCCGTGACACGCTTCAGGTTGTCTCTCTGAAGCCCTGCAACATCTCGGCGTAGAGTAGCGAATCTTAGGGCGGGGCCGGCGGTGTCTTTGGGTGTCAGCCTGACCCCACCCGGCTTGTCCATGAGCATCAGCGTGAGCGTCAGTTTTATTGTCTCGTCAGCGTCGTGGCCATCGGCGCCATCGTCATTCGTAGCCCTTTTGGCTGAAGGCATTCTGACTCCAGCCATTGTGGCTCACGTTTGGCTTAAGCTTCCTCAGGAACTCTGCCGTCACAGTGCAGCACTTATTGCCTGCCGCCCATGTCTGGAAAAGGGAAGAACAAACTGATTGCCTACTGTCAGCTCACCAAGAGCAGGCTCGAGAAGCTCGGCGAGGCGGGCGACGTGGACGACGATGCTGCCGGGAACATCGTCGTCAGCGTGGTGACCTCCATCCTGCGCCTGAGCAGCCGCGCGCCCGAGGACCTCCGGGAGCAGTTGCGCTCCGCGCTGGAGACCTGCGGCTGCCTCGACGGCCGCGCGCCGAACCCCACCAGCGGGGTCGAGGGCCTGAGCACCGCGCTCGACGCCGTGCTGGAGGTCCTTGGAGTGCCCCAGGAGGACGATGACGAGGAGCCGCCCGCGCCCTTCGAACCCGAGGGCGAGGGCGAGGACGAGAGGATGCAGGTCGACGTGGAGCCCGGCGAGGAGGCCGAGACCCTGGCCGGCGCCGTCGACCGGCTCTGGGAGATCGAGCAGCCCTTCCCGGAGGAAGGAAAAGCGGGCATGAACAGAAACTTTCGGAGTTCCGCGCGGATTTCCTTGGATCGGCGCTGTTCCCCCCCCCCCCCCCCTCGGCGCCTCCAGCGCCGCCCTTGGCGCGCTCCGCGCACCAGGGAGGGGGGCCCAGCGCCGATCCAAGACACTTCTGCGTAGCTGCGAAAGGTTCAAGCAGTGGCGAAGCGTCCCGGCTCGCTTATAGGCCCACCAAAGAATGTTTTAAGACCCGTTTGTGGCTTGCATGAAGTGTTATGGGAACATGTCTGGCCCAATCTGTGTAGTTTTAACGCATCAGGTTCATGTTCTAAGAGCATTGTTTTGTTTTTGAACATTTGGGGGTTCTAAGAAAATTTCGTGGTGGGCTTTTAGGAATGCCGGGACGATCGGTCCCTGCTCAATTCATGCCGTTGTTTCTTCCTCTACCCTCAGGCTGCAGGTGGGCACCGACGTCGTCCTGAACGTGCAGCATCGTGCGGACTTCGACCCCGTCGGCGAGGACCCCCGCACGGTGACCGACCGGGCGACGGAGCCCCTCTTCGCCTTCGTCGACAGGTCGAAGTTCAGCAGGGTTGACAAGGCCTTCATGGCCCTCCTGGACAACTACGAGCGGGAGGGGGACGTGAAGGAGAACGTCAGCGCGGAGGAGCGGGGCGAGCTAGACAGGTTCATGGACCTGCTCGACGACACGCCGCACATGCGTTATGTCCACAAGGTCCTGGTGAAGTGGGACTTGGCGCCCCCGAAACTGCGCGACTTCATGGCTCAGGTGTACGAGGCCTGGTTCACGAATTATTACCGCGGCACCAGCTCCGGCTTCGAGCACGTCTTTGTCGGCGAAGAGAAGAAAAACAAGAGAAGTGGGAGGTCTGAGATCATAGGTTTGCACAATTGGATCCAGTTTGCACGGGAGGAAGCGCGGGGCAACATGAACTACCTAGGCTACGCGCACAAAGGCCCCGCAGATGGTGCGATGGTCACAGTCAGATTTGCTTGGTTGGACGACGACCCTGAGGTCGAGGTGAAGCCGTGTTCAACCTTCCTGGTTGGGTCCAGCATCGCCTTTGAGTTTTCATTGGCTTGCCTCGTCTTCTTTGGCGGCCAGGACGGCGACAAGCCGTGGGTTAAGCTGGGCGAGCATGACGTAGCAGTCCAGTTGTACAAGGTCAGAGATAGATTTGGAGAATATGTGCGAAGCGTTTACCTGGAGTGACTTGTATGTGTCATTTCAGAGGCGCGCCGGATTCGTTCGCGCACATGCAAAGACAACACGCCAGCATCATCGTCATCACCCGCCAGGGTGCTGGCGCAGGCACCGAAACTGTCTGAAGAAACTTATACGATTTGTGCGTCAGCCCCGCAGGGGCGACGCGAGCGTTCGCAGAAATCTCATAGCCTAGACTCGTGGGCGGGCGCTTTCTGGCCACACCAGTTTGGCAGCAATGTCTCGTGAGCGGTCTGCGCGGCGCGGTCGGTCAAGACGTGCGCCGTCTGGGGAGGGCGCATCGCACCAGTACAGTATATGCCATTCTGCGTTCCAAGGCGTGCTCAGATTCTTGCGCCGTTGGCCCAAGCTTGGCCCGACGTCGGCCCAACTTTGACCCAGCGCCGGCCCATCACCGGCCCAGCCCAGTGTCGCCCCAGCGCGGGCCCACAGTCGGCCCGACGACGACGGCGGCGACGGCGACGACGGAGACGACGTCGACGACGACAATGGCGACGGCGACGGCGACGGTGTCGACGACGACGACGACAACGACGACTAAGACTAATTACCACTGCCCGTGCAACTACCCTCACAAGTACCACTAAAACTATCACTCTCGTCTTCTCGTCGTCATGGTCGTCCCCGCCGTCGTCGTGGCCGCCGCTAACGATGGGGCCAAGGAATTGCCCCGAAAGCGAAAGGACATGAGTTTTCTTATTCGTTCTTGGACAGGGCGGAGAGCGGCATGAAATAGGATATGTTGGGCCGCACCCGACAGGCGCCCTTGACGGTAAAACGACTTCTCTTATTCCGCTTTTCGCCCGCTG